AATTCAGCGTAAGTCTAAGAATTTCTAAAGTCCCCTTTATCTTTGTACTTTAACTCCGCTTACATCAAATTTTGACTTAATGAGCCTCCTGTTTATTCGAAAGATTTTTTTGCCCCGTCAATTACAGTCTAACATACTTTCATCTCACTTAGTCGAAGAGTGAAAACACACGGCTGATTAAATGACAACTATGTGTCATACATTATTATTATAACGTTTTAAATATTTTCTTAGGAGTTCTCTAAATTTTGGACATATAAGTAAAAAATGATATTCATTTTCGATCATATTAGAATTACAATTTAAACAAATTCTCTCCGTCCTAGGAATATTTATGCAGCGTCCGCGTTCTATTGCCAAATCATGTGAAGATGTACGAAATTTCGTTAAAGATATTCTGAAATTTGCTTCCTGTATAAAATTGAGATAACTTTCTAATTTACATTCATGTTTAAATAAACAATACGTTTCGAGACGAGGAGAGTTATTTATTGATGAGCACCATCGTTGATAATATACATCTATTATCCGTTGCTTAATCATATTTACGTTAATTTGAATGTTAAATTGGTTTTGCCATAAATACATTTAACCGTGATTATATAGTATTTCTTTTATCTGGCTAGCCCAGTGATTACCATTATATGTATTTCCTAATTCAGTATCTCTCCATAACATATTGTAAATTTTAAATAGTAGTGATTGATTATCTAAAGTAATTAATTTAACCCAGTATTTTATCAATATAATTTTTCGATACACATTCATTGGTGTCCTCCCTTATTCGCCGTATAGAGCATCTACGTTTGTAGAGCGTTTTACAAATAGAACTTTCCTACAAAATTTCGTATGTACAATCTCAATATCTGCCCCAGCGTGATGACCCCATATCGGCACAATAATTAAGAGTAGACATTACAAGAAAATCAAAAAGATATATGAGCCGCGTCATAACAAAACCAACATAGTGCGTTTGCGACCAGCATGAATCCAGACCAGCCTGCCCATTCGTGCAGTCTGATCAGGATCCATGCTGTTCGCTATCAGTTTCTCTACTTGTAATAGGGTTGGTAAGCGAACAGCATGGATCCTGATCAGACTGCACGGATGCGCAGGCTGGTCTGGATCCATGCTGGTCGCAAACCCATTATGTTGGTTTTGTCGTGACGCGGCTCATATATCTTTTGGGATACAGGTAATTCTAAGTCATATGATGTATGACGACCGTATTTTTGTTTTACTGGCGTTTAATCGAAGCCTCCATGTATTACAGTAAGTCTGTACATCATTTAACATTGATTATAGAGATTGAGGGTCAAAAGAAAATAATGCACCGTCGTCAGCGAATAATAAAATAATACGTTTACGTCATCAATACTTAAAATACCATTTAAGTTACTATTTATATTTTCTACAATATCATTTAGGAAAAAAGACAGAGTATGCTACTAGCTGGGTCTCCTTGTTTAACTCCAATAAAAGATTTTATGGGATCTGAATTTGTAGAGTTATATCGGATAACAGATTTTACAACTAAGTACATGGATTTAAAAGCTGTAATAAGTTTAGTGCTTATATTTGCAGTATTTATACTATAATTACTTCTTTTCTTAAATAGTTTTGCTCGAGTAAAATACTTACGGTCATTTATCATAATCACGTATGCTATTTCTTGCTTATCCATTGAAAGTACGCTTGATTGAAAGAAAAGAAATCTAAATCTTTCATGCACTGAGTTTAGAAACAAAAAATGATATTTTATGAGAAATTGTGAAAGGGAGTAAAACTAAAACTGAAATAGCAAATGATTTTCAAATTCCAAAAGAGTACGCCCTCGGGTATTGTGTCTAAAAAAGAAATAAATGACTAATTATACCCCCACAACAAAATGTGGGGGAGGGGGGACTATAATGGATTCGCTTTGTCGCGTCGGTCGGTCGGTCCGTCCGTCTCCATGTTCGTGTCCGCTCTATAACTCCTATACCAATTGAAGGATTATCTTCAAACTTGGCTCAAATGTTTACCTCAACAAGGGGATGTGCAGAATTTATGTTGCCTATGTGTCAGCTCAAGGTCAAGGTCACAATTGAAGGTCAAATATCAATTACAATCAAATATTAAGACAGTATTGTCGTGTCCGCTCTGTAAGTTCTTACACTAATTGAAAGATTTTCTTTCAAACTTGGCTCAAATGTTCACCTCAACAAGGGGATGTGCAGAACCCATGTTGCCCATGTGTCAGCTTAAGGTCATGGTCACAATTGAAGGTCAAATATCAAAGAATCAAATATTACACAGTATGTCGTGTCCGCTCTGTAAAGTCCTACACTAATTGAAAGATTTTTCTTTGGCAATTCTTGAGAACCCATGTCAAGGTCAAGGTTCTCACCTTAACAAAAATTGGTAATATTCTTAAATTTTACATTTATTGATATTTCAGAAAGTATTTGCTTGACATTAAGTCACCCTTTTATGCCGGCTTTTTAAAGTCAAGGTCAAATATTAGACACCGCTCTATAAGGTCCTATACTAATGAAGAATTTTCTTCAAACTGACTCAAATGTTAACCTCAACAAGAAAATATTCTTAAAGGTCAAGGTTTAACATGTTCTTACTTTTAATGTATTTATTCTGAAACTAGCACAGGTATTTGCTTGAAACTTAAAAAGATATATGAGGTGTCACAAATAAGATATGCAGGTCAGTTTCATAACGCTATTTTGCATTTTGACAAAAGTTATGCCTCTTTTTTCAGTCTTTAAATTTACATACAATCAATACTAGACAATATGTTGTGTCCGCTCTATAAATTCTATACTAATGAAAGGATTTTTCTTCAAACTTTACTTAAATGTTCACCCCAACTGGGCGATGTGCAAAACCCATCTTACCCTTGTGCCAGCTTAAGGGCAAGGCCACACTTGAAGGTAAAAAAATTGACTTATAAAATGTTTAGTACATTGGAAAAATTGAAAGGTTATTTCTAACTGTTTCGAACATGATTTGATAATATATATTTATACTATTACCTGTCCAATTAGTCTTTTTTCACCAGAGATAATTTCTTTTTGTATATGTATTTGTGTCACTTAAGTTATTCCCTTAACCACCTTTCCAAGTCGTCTTCTGTCAAGGACATTGGTGGGGGTATGAATCGCATTCAGCGATAGTTCTAGTTTGTCTTAATCAAATGCTCTTCAAAATGGCGGCCGTTGAAAAACAATCAGTTCGTTATATGTAAATCTGTTAGCTATAAAAACCTCTGATACAATGAACTAATTCGCTATATGCTTACAGGGAACTCCGGTTATAAGGAACAGATTTTGAATGTCCCAATGAGTTCGTTATAAGCGAAGTTTACAGTAAATATAAACTGGTGATACTTCAAAATGCAGTGGGCCAACTGATCTAAAGTCACTGCAAGGTGTCATTTACTTATCAAATGGTCCATTTGCAAAACATTTACAGCATGGAAGTTTTTCATTTTCACTAAAGTTAAAAGATAACAACGTTACCAACTGCGTTACAGCGACAGTGATGGGTTTTTTTTGCAATATGATTAACGTTTTATACCGTAATAGTGGCCCTAACCGCCAAATCACTCTATAATTATCCTGTCAAACATTCTCTGTGTTCAAAGTCTAGAACAATGGAGTTTTATCGATACTACTGACGAAACGCCTAGAATAAGCTTGTGGTCTCCCTTGCTTTTCCCAGCTCTCATGTTTAAACAGAACGAAATACTTCTTCGTCTGTAATTTCGGAATATTTAAGTGGTCACTGTTAATATATTGCACACTTAAGTGGTAACTGTTACATATAGCACACCAAAATGGTAACAGTTATATATCTACGACACACTTAAGCAGTTACAATTATAAAAACATACTTCATACAGCACATTTTAATGGTAACTGTTATCATACAACACACTTTTATGGTCACTGTTATCATACAACACACTTTAATTGTCACGGTTATCATGCATCACACTTTAATTGTCACTTTTATCATACATCACACTTTTATTGTCACTGTTATCATACAGCACACTTTTTTGTCACTGTTATCATACACACACTTATATGGTGACTGTTATCATATAACACACTTTTATGGTGACTGTTATCATACATCACACTTTTATTGTCTTTTTTTATCATACATCACACTTTTTTGTCACTGTTATCGTTCAAAACACTTTTATGGTAACGTCAAAATTGTCATCATACAGCACACTTTTATGGTAACTGTGACTGTTATCATACACCACATGGTTACTGTTATCACACATCATTTTATGGTCACTGTTATCATACATCACACTTTTATGGTTACTGATATCACGCATCACACTTTTATGGTTACTTTTTTGGCTATTTATAGCAGATATTCGGTCATATTCCCAATTGAAAATAGTATAAGTCATTAAAGTAACAATATTCCCATTCAAGGGTATAAGTGAGTGCACAAGTGAAGGTCAAAATAAGTTTTTCATTTTGCCATAATTCCTTTTAATATAAAAATTTATTCCACATTAACAATAAAGAACGAATGAATTCTAACGAAATTTTCGTAAGTATCCAAAAGAATTTACCTGTAACGTTTATTTCATAAAAGGAGTGGGCAGTCTTTTTATAGTTCAGGTATATTTAAATTTTATCTTAAACATTTTCCAATATAAACTGTTGGTCAATCACCATTTTAGCAGTCAATCTTTTGAAATATATAGTCAGTTCAGCTCAACTTGACTATGAAAATATGAGCATAATGTCACTTTCAGTAAACGGTATTATTTCATGCTTTGATTTCTAATGTTCAACAAAACATCGCTGAAATTCCCAATTCCATCGGTATGGGTGATGTTCCCAAAATCCTGGAAATCCCCGGCTCTTTTTAACAGCACATATTCCATTACAATAGTTCAATTCTTGGAAAGTATGTATCATAATACTAAGAACTGATTTGATCAAAGTTTTTATGTTTCAATTATTCTTCAGATGAAACAAGGCAGGACAGACAGAAGAAAGGAAACATTTTTCAGAGGTTTTTTGAGAGGAGACGTTATAACCGGAGTAAAACAAGTAAGATTTTACTTAAATACGCTATGCATGTGGTTTTCCAGACTTGGAATAAGTCAAACCTTTGTTAGATACAACCTCCGATTTGAGACCAACCTGTAAATAAAGACCACCTTCTACCATTTTTTTTTCATTGAAAAAAGTACATTCCGAATAAAGACCTTTTGTCTTTCGTTTTCGTTTTTTATGCATGTTCTCCCTTTGGATGGTCCCTATTTACCAGTTTGACTGTACTGTGTTGACAGCTTGACTTTTCGCGGAGACAAAAAATCAAGCTATTGCTACATGTTTTCCATTTCCGTTCCCGTCCGTAACAATATTTAGTTGTTATTGTTTTGTTGTACAATATTCATCCTCCGAAAACTAAGAAAATTTCGAGCGTAAGTCCGCTAGGCGGTTGTTCTTAGACACGATTTCTTCACCTGCAAAAAAATAGTAACTGAAAACGGAAAATAATTTTAATATAATTTAACTTTGTGTACAAGATTGCTTATGTTTTGTATCAATACAGTACAGGAAAAATCAACAAAAATAAAATCAGCTTGCCTTTCAATAATTGAAAATAAATGTCATGCTAAAACCTTGTTTAACGAGAAATATTTGCAGTTAAAAGGATGTATACATCATAATAACATTATTTTTTTTCGTAAGGACACCCATAATGTGTAAAAGTTACATTTTTGTTGCTGTAAACATGAGATGAATTAGCTATATTTTTCAAAATATCGACCATATAAATGGCAGTTGATCAATAACTGATATAAAATATAAACTGCCTATTTAATATATAAACTGTCAAGAATACGGACCAAATACAAAGATCTGGTAGCACAGACGTGGACACAATCAGAGTCTTTTCGATTATTGTCTTGGAAAACTGTACGAGAAATAGAGAAAGACAATCGAAAATCTGTGAAAAATATGTTAGGAATATATTGACCTAACGGAGTAAACACTCAGGAATAATGCGACAGACGGCATACAACGACACGACGGGCATCGCTCAATGACGTTACGTCACTTCCGTTTTGGTTTGTTTTAATTATACAAACTGCCCATAATATATTAAGATTAAGCTGGTGGATCATGACATTTGTTACCGGTATGGGGGCATAGGTGGCCTTATTTAGAAATTAAGTAAAAGTGACAAAGTGGTAATTTTCATATTTTTGGCGGCCATCTTGGACACCATTTTGGATTTTTCTGTTCGCCACAATTTATGCCGGCAGATTTGGAAACTACAAACATTTGAGAACATTTTGGTACATGACATGTCTTGTTTAAAAAGGATCCGGGTAGCCCCTATAAATAGATTAGTTTCTTTTCGTAATTGTCACCTTACCATAGGACATATAAGTTTTTGAGTTAATTTCCTCAAGTAGATTCTGTCCGCAAGTTTTATATTACAGTTTGTATAATTACATAGATACTTTAGCGTCTGTTGGGGAGTGGGATATAACGGTATTTACTGGCTCTGTCAGCAAATGGGATATAACGGTATTTACTGCCTCTGTCAGCAAGTGTGAAGGCAAGTGGAAGCACTATATGTTTAGCTTGTGTAGGCAAGTGGAATCACCATATGTTTAGCTTGTGAAGCCAAGTGGAATCACTATATGTTTAGCGTGTGAGTGCAAGTGGAATCACTATATATTAAGCTTATGTTAGCAAGTGGAATCACTATATGTCTAGCGTGTGAAGGCAAGTGAAACCACTATATGTTTAGCTTGTGAAGGCAAGTGGAATCATTATATGTTTAGCGTGTGAAGGCAAGTGGAAACTATATATGTTTAGCTTGTGTAGGTTAGTGGAAGCCCTATATGTTACATTTGTGTACGCAAGTGAAATCACTATATGTTAAGCTTGAGTGGCAAGTGGAAGCCCTATATGTTAAACTTGTTTACGCGAGTGGAATCACAATATGTTAAGGTTGTGTAGGCAAGTGGAATCACAATATATTTAACTCGTGTTGGAAGCACTTTAGATTAAGCTTGTGAAGGCATGTGGAATGACTTTATGTTGACAATGTGTAGGCAAGTGGAATCATCACAATATGTTAAGCTTGTGTAGGCAAGTGTATTCACAATATGTTTTGCTTGTGTAGGCAAGTGGAATCACTATATGTTAAGCTTGTGTAGGCAAGTGGTTACACTTTATGTTAAACTTGTGTAGGCAAGTAGAATCACTTTATGTTTAGCTTGTGTAGGCAAGTGGAATCACTATATGTTTAGCTTGTGAAGGCAAGTGGAATCCCTATATGTTAAGCTTGTGTAGGCAAATGGAAGCACTATGCTTGTATAGGCTAGTGGAATCACTATATATTAAGCTTGTGTAGGCAAATGAAAGCACTTTATGTTAAGCTGATGTTAGCAAGTGGAATCACTATATGTTAAGCTGGTGCAGGCAAATGGAATCACTATATGTCTAGCTTGTGAAGGCAAGTGGAATCACTATACGTTGAGCTTGTGTAGGCAAGTGGAATCACAATATGTCTAGCTCGTGCAGTCAAATAGAATCACTATATGTTAAGCTTGTGAAGGCAAGTGGAATCACTATATGTTTAGCTTGTGTAGGGAAGTGGAATCACTATGTGTTTAGCTTGTGTAGGCAAGTAGAATCACAATATATATTTAGCTTGTGAAGGCAAATGAAAGCACTTTATGTTAGGCTTATGTTAGCAAGTGGAATCACTATATGTTTAGCTAGTGTTGGCAAAAGGAATCACTATATGTTAAGCTTATGTAGGCGAGTGGAGTCACCATATATTTAATTAGTGTAGGCAAGTTGAATCACTTTATGTAAGCTTGTGTAGGCAAATGGAAGCACTATATATATGTTTTGCTTGTGTAGGAAAGTGGAATCACTATATGTTTAGATTATGTAGGCAATTGGAATCGCCATATGTTTACCTTGTGTAGGCAAGTGGAATCTCTATATGTTTAGCTTGTGTAGGCAAATGGAATCACTATATTTTAAGCTTGTGTAGACAAGTAGAATCACTATATGTTTAGCTTGTGTAGACAAGTAGAATCACTATATGTTTAGCTTGTGTAGGCAAGTGGAATCACTATATGTTTAACTTGTGTAGACAAGTGGAATCACTATATGCGGGCGGCACTTGCGAAACAAAACAAGTCTTTTTGTTTAAGAGCAATTCATTTTTTCACCAATGAAGGCGATTAGCAATATTTTTAACCAAGCAGAGACACGCATACGGTAAACTATTAATTATGTTATTTTTTTCTATATAGGTCATATATATGAGATATCTCATTCTTAGCTGTTTAAACTGGTCCCTAATAAGTCAAAAGCGAAACTTTTTATTGATATAACCTTTCATTTTTTGTATACATTACTTGCAATGTAAACAGAGTTATAGAGCTCTGCATTTCAGAAATTAATACGGTTTGACTGTTTTGCTGAACAACATCCACTTGCGGATGAAACCTCGATAAAAGTAGATCCTCATTTTGCAGGATTGTCACATGAAGATCACTTTTTATTTAAATATTGTTTGCATAGTGGTCCATAAGCTTTGAAAGTTCAAAACTATGCTCTTTCAGTTTAAAGAAACATTTCTAAACATGAAAGCAAAAAAAATATGAAAATTACTATTTCATTCATAAAAGCATTGTGTAAACCCCAGCTTCAAACTTCGTATCTACGCATGCGCGTGAAAGAACGAATGAATTACGACAGACTCTGTATAAAAATATGTCAAACGTCAAAAATAAATATTAAATCAAACAAGTAAACCTTATTTACTTTTAAATAAACACTTGCATATTTTTTTTATATTTCAAACTGTTTAACAAAATGAGCATATACAGATATATGTCTTATTTAGTGGTATGTAACATTGCAAGCGTCTGAATTAAAAGTTAACGTTCTGAAAACGTATTGTCATATAAATGCATATAATAGAACCCTATCAACATGGTGGCATCGGAGGAGTATGCAATTATTTGTTGCACACATGCAGTGTGAAATATTTCTGCCACTTAAGTGAAATATATCGCCCAAAAGCCTTTTTCGGGAAGGGGAAGATTCGTACTCAATATAATTCGATTTAATATATTTAATAATACTGAATATTATTCCAACTAAAGATTCGTACTCAATGTTATTCGAACTTAGCCTTCTCAATCGGTATTATTCGAACTGACAATCATGACAGATACGTTTAGACCCCCTGGACATTTAGATGTTGAAAATGGTAACATATCACACAACTTTATCAAATGGAAGCGCCAATGGAAATTTCCTTGACCAGTGTGGAATAGGTCAACAGTAAGTTCACTTGGTGAAATATACTGACTAAAAAAATCAAGGTGGTATCAACTTACTGTAAATCAGTATATCTACGTGTTAAAACAATTGAATACATTTAATTTATATGCAGAAAAATGCTTATCTGTAATTGCATACATGCAGACAGTCACTTCCAATTCTACATGTATAATATTAACATATCAACATATATTAATATTGATATGACCATATTAACATTGAAATGTCTCAGCACGTATAAGGGGCTCGAACACCTAGCTGACTCTCGGAATACCGTTCTCCCAACAGAGCTATCTAGCCGATTACACAAAATTATCTCCCCAAAATAGTAAACAGTTTCATTTATGCGTGTACATATCTTTGGACAGATAAGAAAATAATATGGTGGCAGATTTGTGTCTTTGTATTTATTTGTTTCGCAAGGCAAAAACTAAAATACAACAAATAAACCACTTTGTCATACTTTCTTGTTTTCGCCTGACACACAGCTAACATTTTAGTATTTTGCCTGGCGGGTTGGCTCTTTCCGAAACCTGGTGGCGCAGACCCGTGTGTAATAAGATAAGACGGGAGATGTCCTTTCCAAACTATAGACACATATTAGAATTAATAAAATATGAATTCAGTATTTGATATTTTTGAGACCTGATATTCTTTCTAGACCTTCTCTTCCCTTTATTTAAGGACCTGTATAATGGTGTTGTACTGTTGTACATGTAGTTAAGATTTCTGTTTGCTGCCCTGTGTGTAAAATTTCATCACGGGCCCTGTCACCACTAGAAATGTACACCAATTTAACCTCGGTACTGAATAGGTCTGTCACAAGTTCAGAAATATATTTTGAAATATTTTATTTACAGTCAGGCTGAGCCACCCTTAACATTTTTTCCATAAATCTTTAGACTATTGATATATATAAGGTAAACGTATTAGCCATATATAAGCTTATGATTGCATGGGCAGTTAAATTAAAGCCATTAGTAAAAAAAAGGGTTGACCTGGGATAACCCCAGTGAAGAGTGAAATATGACACTCAACACCTACAGGTACATTCTAAATATTTAGATTGGTGTTTATGATCAGATTTAACACAAA